TTACCAACTCACTATCCGTGGGTGTGTGTGTGTGTGTGTGCGCGCGCGCGCTTTCGAGAGTGTTTCACGCTCAGCCACCGCCACTCACTATGCCGACTCTGCGAACCCTGGATCTACGCTTGCTGAGTGTTATATTGCTGGTGGCAACTCTGGCCTGGCAGCGCGGCGAGGCGCGGCGCGGCGCGGCGCTGCTTCATCAACATGATTATCATTCACCGCCAATAATTTTTTAAGTGGGCGTAACCAAAAACTCTCTGGCGCCACCTTCATTGTTGACGATGTCTGTACAAAAACAACAACAAATGCATAAATAGCGGTTCCTTATTATTTGTTATTGTTGTTTTTCTGCTTCTTCCTCTTCTTCTTCTGTATTGTTGTTTGTTAATTTCGAAAATTATTAACTTGATTTGCTAGCCATTTGTTGTTGTTGCTATTATTTGGTTTTAACTTTATTTGTATTATTGATATTGAGATTATGTTGCTGTTGTTATTATTGGCTTATTGTCTTGTCTACATTTTGCCGCTGATTGCCCGCAGTGCGCCGGCTTAACGCTTACAAATCAAATCGCCTTTGCTTTTGTTACGTCGGCTCGGCGGCACGGCGACACGGCGGCATTTAAATCGGATTCCTTCACATCAGATTCAATTTCAATTTTCGGGCTGGTTTTGTAATCGAATTTCAGTGATTTGGTCGATTTGTGCGTTTGCGGTCAAGATTTGTCATTAGCCGGAGCTAGCGCCGGAGTGGCAGTAATGACAGCGAGAAAGACTTTGTAAGCTTCAAAAATAAAATTTGAAAAATTTTTCGAACTCTTAATTAAATTAGGAAATAAAACAATAGTAGAGCTCCTTTCCAGTATGTTGGCTGGTCCACAAATTTCTACCTCAGCCACAAAAGGCTATGAGACCTGACGCGGTGTTTCCTTCAGTTCGAGGTTCGAATCGATTTGCCGCCGCTGAATTCATATGGCTGAGATCCGACCGAACGCTCACTATAAGCGAGCCAGCTTACGGCACTTCAACTCCAAGAGCGATATACGGATCTGAGCGATCAATCGCTGTGTGTATTTTTCAAAAACCAATGGGATCCTTGGCGGCCGCTGGCATGAAGCTTGAAATTTCGGTCCACAATTCCCTTATAGCAAGCTTTTGATGGCTGCTCTCAAAAAGCAGTGGTGCAAGTTAACCGGAAAACTATTTGAATGACTTATGTGATTGCAGCTTTTCAACGTCAAACCTATCTTAGGATTGTTGATGAGCATTCTCTACTACACAGAGCCGGGTGCGTATCATGGCCGCTAGATAGTGGTGCGAGTCGATGTTAGGATAACCGAGAAAATGTTCTTCCAGTACACTAGAGACATGTCTTCTATGGTAATATGATCAACATGTAACTTGACTAATTCTGGCGACTATGTGGTATTTCAGGCAACCGCCCACCCAGGGCCCGGTGCATCCTATGAGCCTGAACTCATTTAGGGATGTTTGGTTGTGGAAGGAGATGTTTTCTTCGGTTGTGCCGCATATACCTTCTTTGTTTACCTTATCTTTAAAGTCGCCAAACGCGATTTTCACAACATAGCAGGGGCAGCGCTTGTATCTCCCAGCCCATACCATCGCTTGTCTTGAGCGGCAGTGATATTGCAGAGGTCGTTAACTAGTTGGACAGTGGCACCTTCTCAATTAAGAACCGAATTTTCAAGATGTATGCGCTGCTATGACCGTCATCAAAATTGGAAGTTCTCATAGGAAGTCACTGTTTTGTTCTCCTTATACTTCCCATTCAGCAGAGTAAGGTATTAGTTGCGACAGTTTATGGTGAGCGGGTTGCTGCAAGACCGAAACCAGCGCGTAGCTGCACCTTTGACGATACTGTATTATTTGTGAGTATTGTATTTAGTGAGCGCTGAAGTCGAATTTTGTGTGGAGGCCGCACAAAAGCTCTCTCTCTTTAATCTGGACACAGCACTGGTTGGTTACTCCAACTCGCACAAATGTAGCTCACGTTTCCAAGGTCTTCGTCGAGGACGAAAGAATAGGAATCGGGATAGTTTGCAACTTTGTCTTTATATCATGGAGCAACACATACATATTCTAGGGTCAAGTTTAGACGGTTGGAAAATATTTTTCTTTATGTGAAATATCGCTCCAAAGCCTAACTAAGAGAGCAAAGTGAATATACTGCGAAGAGAAATTCTCCAGCTAATTACAGGACCCCTAATTTCTGCTATTGGTTTTGGACGGAAGATGGTTACACCTTCGGTTTGTTGGTTCTGATTTTTTTAAATTTCATTTATTCTATTTACGTAAATCTCAGAAGTGAATGTACTTATATTGTACTTCGTAGTGGAAGAGGGTATCAAAGAAGGACCTTTAGGGACTTCCAAAGTACATAATATTGTAGAGTATGCTGAAACTGTTGGGAGTCTATTGATAAGCATTTAAAGAAAAATTTGGTAGATTCAGTAAGCATTGACAAAGTATGAATAAGCATTGAGAAAGCGACGAGAAAGTGTTGAGTAAGCATTAAAAAATATTGATATAGCTTTGAGAAAACATTGAGAAAGTATTGAGAAGGTATTGTAGAAATATTGAGAAAATTTTGAGGAAGCCAATATTAAACACTGAGTAGATACTGAGTATAAATATAGGAAGTATTAAAAGAGCAGTGCGAAAACTTAAAGAAAGGATTGAGTATGCATTGAGAAAGTATTGAGAAAGCTGTGAGAAAGTTGAGAGAAAGTATTGTAGAAATATTGAGGAAGCCAAGATTAAACATGGAGTAGATATTGAGTAAGTATTCAGTAAGCTTTAAGAAGGCGTGGAATAAATATTGAGAAAGATTTGAAAAAGTGTTGAGTAAGCATTGATGAAATATTCAGAAGATATTGAGTACGATTTGAGTGAAGATTGATATAGCGTTGAAGAAGTTTTGAGAATGTATTGAGAAAATATTGAGCTAGAATTGAGTGAATATTGAGAAAGCTTAAGGAAAGTATTGAGCAAGCGTTAAGAAAGTTTTGATAAACCAGTAGTAAAAGAATCAGAAGACATTAAAAAAGTATTGAGAGAAGTTTGAAAAAAGTATTGAGAAAATATTGAGCCAAAATGGAGTAAACCTTGAACAGCACACCTTCACATAGCTTTAAATTTTACTCAAATCAAAATGTTTATGGGGTAAAAAATTATGCATACTAACACTCACACACGATCAACTTCACTTACTTGCATTTATAATTATGTTATACACACTTTACGTATGTATGTGTGTTTGTTAATATCTTTCTTAGCTGATAAAAAATAATAATTTAATGATTATGAAATTATTATTCTTCATAAAATTAAAGTTATGGCTTCATCCAGTCGATTTTGACGCAAAATGCCAGTCGATGGCGTCAATGTTTAATATGCATCCATATGCACATACCATACATACACACATACATATGTACATACATTTATACAAATCCTCGAAATGAGAAACTAAATTTGTACGTATGTATAAAAGTGAACTTAACCCAATCATAAAGTCATAAAGCGTTATGTAAATATTATACATGCAGACACATAGTCATACATACATACATAGGTATATGTATGAGTATATATTATACAAAAATACATTGCATATTAAACATTTGATTTCTGAGATGCTTTCACAATCATAACTTGTATCACGAGACCGTGGCGGTGGACGAGGAAGAAGAAGAAGAAGCATATTTTAAAAATAATTCTTAATGTAAAATTTTAATTTTTATTTTTTTTAATTTGTATGTAAAAATATAGAAATTTTTTTATTGCTTTTACATATGTGCATATGTATTTGTAGGTGACTGTAGCCAGTTGTAGGCTTATAAGTGAATTTAATCCGCACATTTATAAGCGTCAAAGCGTGGCGAACGGGCATTACCTGTTCCATTTTTTTTCTTAATCTTTTTTAATTTTACAAATTATTCAGTGGGCCTAATTTTGAAACTAAAGGTTATGATTTTTTCTTTTGTCCAATGTGTAAACAATTATTTATTATTTCTCTTACTCTGACTATAAGCTCCCGAAGGATTAGTTTTTAGAAAAAATTAATTTTATGAAGAATTTAAAATACATTTCATAAAAAAATATTAAAAATCTCCAAAATTTATATATATATATCCTTTATAAAATATATTACAAATATCCTTATCTGTTCAAATTTCAAAAATATGTTTTCAAAAAAATAAATAAATAAATAAAAAAAATATTAATTCAACATTGTAATTTATTTATTTTCTTTTAACTTTTTTTCAACACAATATTTTTAAATTTTAAAATAAAAATCATAAAAATATGAAATATCCAATCTCGCCACGGAAAACTATCAGTGGAATACTCGTCTGTAGAGTCCAACTTTTTTGCTGTATTATTTTTTTCAAATAATTTTTCCCACTCCAAAAACTTTTAATAACTCTACACTACAATATTTTTTTACATTTGATCTTATCAATTGCAATCCGCTCAAACGACAGGTATTTCACGTCTAAGCCAAGATTGCTTATTATGATTCGTTATATCGCTAGTGTAGCCATCACCACACAGTTCCGCATATCGGCATAAGAGTAACAAAAACAAAAAAAAAAAAACACTCTCTTAATTAAATTGATAAATCTCTTAATTGAAAATGAATAAAAAAGAGATAAAAACATATAAAAAAACTCAAGATTAACTCAAATGGTTAACAGAGACTCTCAACGAAATTTGCATATCGCATGGATGGTAGATATAAAAGAGATCAAGTTAGTGTACAGAAAAATATTGCAGCACTGCTGAATATTAACCCAGTAGAAAATATGTTTGGCGTACATTTATATATATATTTTTTTTTGCAATTAGAAACAGTGAAAACGTACAAAATTTTAAATGACATAAATTTAATACGATTTGTATAATTTTATAATTAATTAAATTAATTAATTAAATTATTTTATTTAGCATTTTTATGTTTTTGAATTCTTTACTATTTACAGAATGGTTTTGTACACTGCGACAAGGAAAGTTGTCCCTCAATCGAAGATTGCTACTTATTAGATCCGAAATTGCCAGACACATGTTGTAGACGTTGTAAAGGTGAGTGAGTTGTTATTGGTTTTTACGTTTTTACGCAAAATTATAAATTCTAATCCCAATTGATTTCTGCTCTTATTTTATTCAATTATTTATATAATTTAATTTAATTTATTTATTTTATTCTATTCTTATTTTTTTCTATTTTTTCACTTTTTCCTCATTTTTTATCTTATTTTATTCTCTTTGAATTTATTCTTCTTTTTGTTTTCATTTTTATTTATTTTTTCCTTCTTTTTTATCTTATTTTATTTATTTTATTTTTCACTTCTTTTTGATCTTATTTTATTTTTTCTTTTTATTTCATTTTTTATGCATATTATTTTATTTTATTCTTTTTTCGTTTGATTTTAATATACTTTTTCATATTATTTTTTTAATTGGATTTATTATTTTATTTCAATTTGTTTTATTTATTTTGTTTTTTTTTTTTTAATTTAGTTTTATTGAATATTACTTTATTATGATTTAATTTATATTACTTTATTTTTATTTTTTATAGTTATTTTATTTTATGCTTTTAATTTTATTTTTTCTTCCGTTTCATCTCATATTATTCTATGATTTTGGTTTGTTTAATATTATTTTCATTTTATATGGTTTTTCGTTTCAATTTATATTTTTTATTTTATATTTATTTTATTTTTTATTTTATTATTTATATTAAATTTGAATTAATTTTTTTATTATGTTATGTTTTTTTTTAATTTTATTTAATATTACCTTACTATGTTTTATTTTGATTTTTATATTTTTCCTTATGTTATTTTATTCTTCCTTTCATTTTATTTTGTTTCATATTATTTTTCATTTTATTTTATTTTATTTTATTTTATTAATTTTTTTTTATTAATTTTTTTAAATGTTGTATTAATTTTATTTAATATTGCTGTATTATGTTTTGTTTTATTTTAATTTTAAATTTTTTTCTTATTTTATTCTTTTTTATCTTATTTTGATTTATTTTATTTTTCTATTCATTTTATTATACATTTATTTTATTTTACTCTATTTTATTATATTTTTATTTTTTTTTTTCTTTTTTATCCTCTTTTTTATTTTTCTATTTTATTTTATATTGTATCATTTCATTAGCTGTCATTTTGTTCAATATTTTCTGTTTTATATTTTTTATATTTCTTTTATTTTTTTTATTTTTTAATTGTATGCCTTTGAATTGCTACTGAGCTTTACATGTAAATTGTTTTCATCTTTACCTCTTTTACATTTAGGTTGCATATTTCGTGGTGTTCCATACCCAAGTGGCTCCGAATGGGCTGATCCCGAAGATTCATGTAAGACATACAAGTGTGTTGCCAGTGTTGTTACCGAAACCACAATGAAATGTTTTAATCAATGTGACGATGAAAATGTCATTCCACCGAAACGGGGCGAATGTTGTCCCACATGTAGAGGTGAGTTGTTATTAATAAAAGGAATATGAGTATATATATCTGTAGGTATATGTGTATATATACGAACATGTATGTTTTCCAAAGTATTCTTGCACAATAAGGGGATCAGAAATGATCCCTGAGGTGAGAGCGCCAAATTATTGGTGTCCTAAAAAAAAAGTGCAAAAAATTTCGAAAATCTTTCCGAAATAAATAAAAAATCCTGCTGAAATCCTGAAAAGATATTTATAATATTATCCTCATATATGTATGTAAGTAGTGATAACAAGTCTTGTAAAATTAGTGAAATAATTTAAAACAAATTCTCAAGATACTTACAGTTTTCATCTTACGGTCTCGAGAATAAACGTTAATTTTAGCATTCAAAATGATTTTTATACACGAAATATATTTTTTTTATTATAAAGCTTGAACCTTGGAATTATATTTGAGACACTACATTAGTCAAATGAACGCCTCGCAAATTTGTTTAAACTGCGATCCGGTTGAGGTAAATTTCTACCCCCTTCTGGCACAACTCAGTCATAACTTGACGATCTGCGGTTTTCAAATGCTCTTGAGTTTATTCACATAAACACGGTCTTTCGCGTGGCCCCATAAAGAACCCCTCACATGGTGTCAAACTACACGATCTCGTTGGTTACCGAATCTCTCGTCCTATAAAGCCATATTCGCACATTTTGTGTGGCATGTGGCACCATCTTGGTAAAACCACATATTGTCCAAGTCGTGTTCTTCAATTGGATTCCGAATTGGGAGTTACCGTCCCGCCGTTGTTGTTCTCAATAAAGTAAGGTCCAATCACACCACCGAACAAAAGTGCACACCAGACGGCATACATATATATTTTTTTTTTGGTTTTTTCAATTATTTGAGAATTCTCTGAACAAATGCAATAATTTTGCTTATTTAAGTATCTCCCGAGTGAGAAATGGGCCATCCATTGGCTGCGCCGTATTTTCCCATAAGAAACTCCCAGCTCTGGAGAATGTCGCGAAATAAACACATTCCGGGTCTTCGGCTATACTTTCACTTATAGTACCGGTAGTTGCGGTTATTTTAGGTGGCATGAGCAAAACGGTAATGTACCGGCCTTATAATATCTGTAACCGATCCAGTCCTCCAAATTTATTTAATATTTTACTAATTTCTTGGGCAGACGATGATGTCCACCCCAAACTCCTCTTAAAGCATAGAATGTGACCAGGTTGAACCGCCATTTCAGCGATAACGATCCATTTTCATATGCCTGACTTTCAAGAAAAACAAAACATGTTTGGTTTGACAGTTGTCAAAATACAGCGCTGTACTTCTGAAGCTCTATATTATATACCAGTTCGGCATACTTTGTATTAGAAACTATTGTCACCAATCCCGAAAACAACTGAGGCGGGATTCGCATTTTTTTGCTAAGTAAAAAATAAAAGAAAAAATCACACCAAAACTAACAACTACCAGAGTCAATCGAAAAAAAAAATAATAATAATCACACGTCATGCGCATAATCCATAAAAGTGTGACAGAATCACAACTGTGAAAACAAAAAGGAACAGAAGACAGCGAACAAAAACATAAAAATTATAATAATAATAATGTCAATATTCTTCGAAAAATCAAAGCACCAATAAAATATTAAAAAAAAATAAGAAAAAAAATTAAATACCTTCCTCTAACTGCATGTGTATGTGTGTCTGTGTGTTTATTCACCTTCAGCATCTTGCCAAGGCATTGGGTCAATATCCAAAAATAATCATCACACATTCTAACTAACGCTCAGTCCGCTTTGATTTGATGGCATATTTAGCGTAGTCTCGCACTTCAAGTTGATGATTTTGCGCTAATCTCTTGTCATATTACTTGCGACATACTTAAGTGTGTGCGTACATACATACATACATACATACATATGTACGCTCGTAGAAAACTACATCAAGACGGCAAAAGAAAAAAGAAAAAAATCTAAAGCAATTTATAGACATGTTCTATAAAAATCATACAATGTTGTCGTTGTTTTTGTTGTTGTTGACGTGTTTTTTTTTTTTTTTAATTTTATTATTTTCCATTTCATTATTTGCCAATCACAATAATGACATTAAATCATTTAAGCCACAATAAAACTTGATTGAAATTATTGTTTATGAGAGAAGCATAGTAAATAAAACTAACTGCTTAGTTGTATATATGTATGTATGTGTGTATGTGTGTGATGGATAATTTTGATCTTGGTTGTTGTTGTTAGTCGTCTACAAATCACGGAAATTATAGTACACAGTGTGACTCTGAGATGTTGGCTGAAACATCTGGTTTAAGAGGTGACACATTCTGAAGCGAAAAAAAATTTGTTTTTTTTTTCTTTCAATAGTTCGAAGCATAGGGTGGTCCAAACGGAGTTGTTTAAAAATAATTGTCAAACCAAACATGATTTGTTTTACTTATAAGTGAGGCATTTTTGGAAGTTTCCTATGAAAATGGTGTTTCAAACGTGGCCGCGTCTCGTGCTTCAAGCGAAGATGTGCACCATAATCGCCAATTACAATCGCCCAACTACTTAAACAATTAATAAAACTTTAAAGATGGATGCCGACACAGATAGTGTAAGATCTGTGCATACTCGTTTTGCTCGTTCCACCTAAAACATCGGTACAGTGAGAGAAAGTGTAGCCGAAGACCCGTATGTATCCAATTCGCGACATTCTCAAGAGCTGGGGCTTTCTTAAGTCACATTATGACGTGTTTTGGGCTTGAACTTACACTTATCTATATACGTATAATTGGCGCTAAAGCGATTTTCGCCGAGCTTCTTCGCCAAATTATGGTTTTGCGTCTTCCTGTTTGAGACCTACAGTTTATACTAAGCCGCCTTCGAAGAGCTCACGTTTTTTTTTTTTCTTTTTTTTGTGGAGTTTCATTTCATGTAAGAAACACACTCGGTGGGGTTGACATTCCCTGCTGAGGGGCGAGCGCAATTAGAAAATTCAACTTCATTTTTAATTTAAATTAATTTTCTATATCTTTTTGGATATAAGTAGCACACCAGGATTTGAACACGAGACTTCCGGAGGGCAATACGCAATGCTAACCGCTCGACTAACGCGGCCGCCACTTACATTCATATAAAGTCCACACAACAACCGACCATCCTCAAAGTCGATCACACGTCCATTGAGTCCTTGAGCAACAAGCAGTGGACGGCGATCTTTCGAACAAGATTTTCTTCAGCTGCAAGGCACATTTCTCACTCGGGGTATACGTAAATAAGCAAAATGTTCGCATTTATCAGGGGTATTGCGAAAAAGAGCTTACAGATACATTATTCAAAGTATTTTCTTTCGCTAGCTACAATTTTCTCCCATCTTTCCGGCAAATTTTCGGATCCCAGCTCGAAAAAATGAGTCCTCTTTTGACGCTATCCATGAAGCAATCCATTTTTCCAATTCTTCGAAGGATTGAAAATGTTGATCTGCCAGGCCGTATGCCATCGAAGGGAATAGGTGGAAGACAGAAGGGGCGACATCTGGGGAATACGGCGGGTGGGGCAAGACTGTCACTGAAACAGCGATGACAATTCGGTAGGCGCTGTCCACACTTACTTTAAAGGCATTATCATCTCTGAGTCTAATGGGTCAACGAGATCGTGCGATTTGACACCGTGCGGGGTTCTTGGTGGGGCTGCACGGCAGTCCGTGTTTATGTGAATAAATTTTTAACTCTTGAGCATTTGAAAACCAAAACACGTCAAGTGATGATTGAGATACCGCCCGATATGTGCCATTAAAGAACTTTTCATATAAAAACATTCTTATACCACAATGAAATTGTTCTTCTCTATAGAAAGTTATTCCAACTTCAATTACTTCCACTTGTTCTTCAAATCTTTCTTGTTATTTTTTCCAACTTCACCTTCTCCACTTTATATAATCTTTTTAGATTGTAAACACTGCTCATTGATCTCGCCTTCCATAGTCTAAAGGCCAAAAAAAAAGAGTTTTTTTCTCTGAAACTGATTGAACTTAAGAGCAGCTGTTCGGCGCAGCAGATGTTTTGGTCTGCTAACTACCAGCTGATCTGGCATTCCTTACGAAACCCTTCTCCTTTCGATGTGATTTCACTGGAAGATATTTTCGGGTTTTGTTTTTTCTGAGGCTCCTTGTTTACTATAATAAGCAAAGGACCTAGAGTTTCTTCAAACATTACAAACTCAAGCTCTTACATTAAAGTATTAAAGGGATTTGGATCAAAAATCTTTTGGTTGTTACGGAAAATTTTATATATTTCGGTGTGAAAGTCCTCTCTCTATTGTAAATAAATCGGGTTTCAATTCTATGCATGAAATTAAATATGAAATTTGACTTTCATTTTCAGGTTGCAAAATCAACGGACAAGTTGTCGCTGAGGGCCAAGAAGTGGTGGGCTCAATAGATGATCGCTGCATGGTCTGTCAGTGTTCGAAGAATCAATTGACATGCGCGAAGAAGACCTGCCCCATACTACAATGTCCCATTTCCAAGCAAATACAAAATCCCAATGAATGCTGCCCACGTTGTACGGAACACCGGGAATATATGCCGGTGCCAGGTGAGTGCGAGTGATGTATTGTCTGGGAAAATATCAGAAGAAAAACGGAGACCGAATATGTTATAAGTAAACCGTCTGAAAAAGTTGACAGCACATTGAGATGTGTGATCGATCCTGGGTACATTTAAAGAGGTCGTTGGAAATTGATACGATTTAAGGGAAACTTTTCAGTTTATACGTGCTTATTAGTTTTTAATGGTGGCTCTTCGAAGGCTTTCAATGACGATGAACTTAGCTCAGTGTGAGTCTTATATGGGCACCATTGCTTGGCTGAGTTTGGTTACCCTGTTAGCTTGTTACTCTAGATCTAACCTCCTAAATAGTTGAATTTAAATCTTGCTATGAAAATCAATAGATTCACACGCTTTTCTTCGATTTACTCTCTTCTCTCCGCTACAGGCAAATGCATTTTCAACAACAAGGTCTACTACGACAAGACCCAGTTCACACCGGACAGATGTACCAACTGCACGTGCAGTAATGGCACCTCGGTCTGCCAGCGCAACACTTGTCCCGTGTTGGACTGTTCGCCCGAGTATCAGGAAATGGATGGTTGTTGTCCACGTTGCATTACGTCCGAGGTGCGCAGCGAGTGCATACACAGTGGCGTGACTCATATGAATAACGAGACGTGGAACTTGGGACCGTGTCGTTCGTGTCGCTGCACTGCTGGCAACATACGCTGTTCCGAGATGCGTTGTCCGGCGGTAAAATGCCGTTCGAATGAAGAGAAGAAAACACTGCCGGGTGAGTGTTGCCCACGCTGTATAGAAACCGCTGGTACTTGCACCGTATTCGGCGATCCGCACTTTAAGACCTTCGATGGTAAATTCTTCAGCTTCCAGGGCTCATGTAAGTACCTGCTGACGGCCGATTGCCACGACAATACGTTCTCGATACGTCTGACGAATGATGGTCGTGGCACGAAACGTTCGTCGTGGGCGAAAACGGTGACACTGAAGATGCGTGGCATGCGTGTAAATTTGGGACAAAAATTGCGTGTGAAGGTGAATGGCAGTCGTGTGTTGCTGCCGTACAAGGGAGCCGCCGACACACCAATCGTCAGCATAGAACGACAAGGTGAACATATTATGCTGCTCACCGATTTGGGTCTCAGTCTGGAATGGGATGGTAATAATTTCCTACAAGTAACAGCACCGGCCACATACAAACGTCGTCTATGCGGTCTCTGTGGCAATTACAATGGCATTGGACGTGATGATCTCACTAGCCGTGATGGTAATAATCATACCGACGAGGAGGTATGGCGTTTCGCCAACTCATGGAAGGTGGGCGGCCCGAAAGCGTGCTCACGTCGTGTGGAAAACATTTCGGCACGTCCCAATTGCAAGCAACGCAAAGCGAACACATACTGTCGTTGGCTGCGCGAATCTGAAGTATTCGGAAACTGTGATAATAGACTAAATCCCAATAACTATTTTGATGCCTGCAAGATGGACGTGTGCGAATGTCCCAACGGCTTGTGTCACTGTGACAGTTTTGCTGCGTACGCGCACGAATGCCGACGTCTGGGTGTGCATGTGCCCGAGGAGGAGTGGCGTAAACGGACCAAATGTCCGACGGGTATGTGGCGGAGGAATGCAACAAGATTGGCGGCTACGTTACCGGCGCGTTGGCAACAGCAACAGCAACAGCAGCAGCAGCAGCAACAGCAACATCATCATCAAAGAGGCGGCGGTGTGCAGGCGCGTCGTCGAAAACACCACCAACAACAACAACAGTTAGAGTTGGAGCTACAACTGCAACAGTTGCAAGAACAAAATCTACAGCACACCTTCATGTCCAAACATGTGCCGAAGAGCCTGTTGGTGCACAAGTCGCCGAACCGAACACCGCCACCGTTACATTAGTGTGTGCGTGCGCCATGTGCAGTGGGTGGCGTCGCCGACGTCGAATACACACACCATACACAACACAGCACAGCAAACATTCAACACTACTAAGCTACATTAGGCTATGAAAGAGTACGTAACTACACTCATACATACTACATATGTATACTCGTACATATATACAAATAAGCATATGTATGTATGTATGTACTATAAGAAGTTAAAGAAATTTACAATCAAAAATATTGCAAAAATTATTAGTTTTAGTTGATCACAAAAAAAAAAAAAACAAAAACAAAAAAAAACTACTGAACTGCTGCAGCCTACATGATCTGAGCCTATCAATATTATTGTCTATATGATATATTTGTTTGTATGTGTGCGTGCATGTTGTTAAATTTTTATATAATTATAAAATGTATTTTTAATTGTAACTTAATATTTGTAAGTGTACGTATGTATATTTTATAAGCATCACTGTTTTCTGTGCTGTTCTATAGTTAATGAAATATTATTGTTAATTTATCGCTATTGGAATTATTAATATAATTAATACCGTTATTTTATTATTATACTGTTATCCTTATGAGTTTTTTCTCAAATCTACTTTTCTTATGCATTGTATTGTATAAATACTACATGTATATATGTATGTTAGTAACATATTAGCAACATAAAGTTTATGCATGTAAATATGTATATATGTATGTAAGTGTATCCTTTTTTACCAACCGTAACGGTTCCTAACCCACTCGATGACTTCGTGGAGCTCAATGCATATGCACACAAATACTCTCAAATTTTAATTTAAACATTTTTCTACAAATGCTTATTTATTTATTTAATTTAAATTATTTTAATTTGTTTTTAATTAATTTAACACTAGTTTATTTCACCTTATTATTTTTTTATTTTCTATTAATTTCTTGGCATTTTAATTTTTTAAGTAGAAAAATTTAATTTTTTATTTTAAGTTTTCATTCATGTTTTTTATTATTTTTATTTCTAATTTCATTGTTATTAACTTTATTATTCATACAACAAGTTATTCCATTTTAATATATTTTTTTAATTTTTATTTTATGTAACTTTCAACACTCTTTAATTTTTAAATTTTATAAATAAAATAATTTATAACGAAATAAAAAAGTAAAGTAAAACTATGTACAATAAATTTAAAAAAAATAAATAAATATAAATAAAATAATTAAAATTAAATAAAATAAATTGAGAGAAAATATAAAATAAAATATAATAAAATAAAAAAATGAAATACAGTAAAATAAAATAAAATATACAGAAACAATAAAATAAAATGAAATGAAAAAATTTTATTAATTAAAATAAAATAAAAAATGAATAAAAAGTAAATGAAATATAATAAATATGAAATAAAATATAATAAAATTAAATAAAGTAAATTATAAGAAAAACATAATACAATAAAGTAAAATCAAAAAAAACAATTAAATAAAAAAATGCATACAAAAATAAAAAATGAACAAAAAAATTAAATATTATATATTAAATATAAAATAAAATTAAATTAAAATAAAACACAAAAAAATATTATAAAATATGGTAAAATATGGTAAAATAAAAAAATAAAACAAAAAAAACGAAATTATAATAAAATAAAATCAAATAAAATAAAGTAAAATAAAATTAAAAAAAAAATAAAACATAAGAAAATAAAATAAATAAAATAAAGTAAAAAAAAAATAAAAATAAAACAGAATATAAGAAAATGAAATAAAATAAAATAAAATATAATTAAAATTAAATAATAGTAACAAAATAAATTAAAATAAAACATAAGAAATAAAATAATATATATAAAAATTTGTAAAATAAGGTTAAAAAAATAAAAAAAAAATTAAAAAATAAAAAATAATAAATATAAATAAAATAAAATAAAATAAATTAAAATAAAATTTGTAAGAAATAGAATATAAGAAAATAAAATTAAATAAAATACACTAAAGTATTTTTAAATAAGGTAAAATAAAAAAATAAAAATGAATAAAAAATAAAATATACTTAAATTAAGTGAAATAAATTTAAAAATAAAATGAAACAAAAATAAAACAAAATATAATAGAACGAAATAAAATAAAAAATGGAATAAAATTAAAAAAAAAAAAAAACAAAGTAAAAAAATGATTGAAAAATTAATAATAATAAATATAAAATGAAATAAAATAAAATATAATTAAAATAAATAATTGTAATAAAATAAATTAAAATAAAATTTATTAGAAATAAAATACAAGAAATAAAATTAAAAAAATAGAAAAATTATAAATATATATAAAGTAAAATAAGATAAAATAAAATAAAATAAAATAAAATAAAATAAAATAAAATAAAATAAAATAAAATAAAATAAAATAAAATAAAATAAAATAAAATAAATAAATTAAAATAAAATAAAATGAAATAAAACAATATATAAAAAAAAAAAAAATAAAATAAAAAAATAAAATAAAAAAAAATTAAAATAAAATAAAATAAAATAAAATGAAATAAAATAAATTTAATTAAAATGCAATAAAGTAAAATGAAATAAAATAAAATAATTTCAAATAAAATTATTAAAAATAAATAAAATAAAACTAAAAAAAAATTTATGACACAATCAAACTAAATTAAATAAAAAATATTTAATATTTTAACTTATTTTTCTTTGCAGTGAAGTAAAATATATTTATTTTTATTTGTTTTGTTGAATTAATTTATATATTGTTACAAAGCACCACATAATATATATTGTTTTTTTTTTTTTTTATTTTATATATTATATGTGCATTTAAATTGTTTATTTTAGTTTGTAATAGATTATTCTTTTTATTTTATAATACTTTATTTATTTAAATTAAATTTTTGACATTGAACTCATTTCAGTTTTAGTTTCATTAATTACTTTATTTTAATGTTTTCTTTATTCCTTTTTGTTTTATTTTATGTTTTACATAAATTTGTTTTATTGTAGTTATGTTGAATATATTTTTTAAACTTTCCTATTTTCTATTGTTTTGTTCACTAAATTTTAATAAATTTTAAATATTTTTACTAATTATTAAATTTAATAAATTTTCGTTATTAAATATGAAATTGTGGAATAATGAAATGTTTAATTTTTCTAATGTTTCCTTTTGTGATTTCGGCAGACGTATTTGATATTTTTTTAAAATTTCTTAATTCTGTTGAATAATTCTCCAAATCTTCCTTTTACAAATTCTTTTCTATTCATTTTATCCATATTTTCTTATTCTCAGTTTTTATTTGTGTGCTCTTTCTTAAAGATTTATTTTATTTTATTTTTTCATTTAATCTTAGTTTTTTTTTTTGTTTTGCTATCTTGAAATTTTGGCGGTTTTATTTTATTTTATTTCCTTTTATATTATTTTATTTTGTTTTTTGTGTGTTATTTTACTTAAGTGGATTAGAAAGTAATTTTATTTTTTTTAAATTTTATTTTATATTAATTTATTTTATATATAGGTCATATTATTTTATCTTTTTATATATTTGTTATATTTTATTTCACATTAACATATTTAATTTGTTTCTTTGATTTTCCTATATTTTGTTTTATTCCGGTTTTTATTTACCTTTCTGTTTTAATTCACTCTTCCATTTTCAGCGAAGTCTTTGTATTTTTCGGTTATTTATTTCTTGGTTAAAAATTCAAAATATCTAAATTTTCCTGTAAAAAATATGTTTAATTTTCCACAGGCACCCATTATTATATTTTAATTTATGATTCAAAATTCTCAAAAAGAACTTTTGAGTAAAATAGTTAATTTTTACATCTACTGGAAAGCAGTTAGAGATTTTGAAGTTAATCTATAATTTTTTTATTTTCTAAAATTGCTTGACTTGACTTGTTATTTTCTGCTTTGACATACAGAAAATATTTAAGTAAAATTTTATAAAGTTGCGGAAAACGCAATTATACGCATGCGCTAGCAATACGCAATATTCACAAAAATAAAAAATAAGATTAAATTGAAGAATAAAAAATAAAAAAAAAAAATAAAAAAAATAAATATTTAAATAAAATTTAAATTAAAATAAAACAAAAAAAATGGTATGAAAGTAAATTAAAAAAGTTTAAAAAAATAAATAAATAATAATAATATATGATAAACTTTCATAAGTATTACAATTATTCATATTAAAATATTGAATATTATATATATTTAATATTTTCTAAACTCCATACCCTCAACTTCACACACTTTTCACTTAAAAATTAAAGAAAAAAGAAAAGCTTAGGCTTACGTGAAAAGCACTTCAAAACTCATTTTCGAAATATTTTTAATGCATTTTCTTTTCATTAAACTGGTCTATATTAGACTTTTCATTGTGTGCACAAATTGTTATACATATTTATCTATATGTATTATTTGTGCCTATTATACAATTATTCCTCATTCTGTTTACTTTAATGTTCCATAAACAACAAAAAATCAAGCAATTCACACTTAATCTGCAGTCTAGCGATTTTTGGTACTAGACAGTTTTGGATTAAATTTAAAAAAAATTATATAAATTTTTTAATGAATATTGCAAGCGGCACTACCGTAATTTCACGAACTTATTATGATGTTTTTTTTTTAATTAAAATTAAAGTAAATAATAAATCTTTAATTATATTTTTAATTTCTTTAATTTTTGTAATTGATTATAATGGGTGTAAAAATTTTATAACTCAAATTTTTGAAAAAAAAAATCTAAAATTTTTAATTTATCTCAAAGATAATTTGTTTTATTTCTCACCACTCTGCAATTTATTATTTTAAAACCATCTCAAAGTGAATTTTTTCAATTGTAAGCGCAATTTTCTTCACGCTCTCTCCTTATTCCCAATTTCTTTCTCTCCCTTGCTTTAGTGCATACACATTTTTAGCACAGACACACACCAGTTAATGGTGTAAAATATTCTATGCAACACACATTTAATCACCCCAACGAAATTAAAAAAATAAAAACCTCGAAAAAAACCCAAATCTCGAAAAAAATTTCTTGTGTGCATATGCGAGTATTGAATATTAATTTTAATTTTTCACTATTTCCTTAACAGTAAAAATTCTGTAACTCAACTTATTATAAGCTCTAAGTATAAATATTTCTTTACTACTTAAAACATTATTTATTTTATTTTCATTTAATTTCAATTTAAATTTTTAATATATTTTATTTTTATAGCTTCTCATTTTCATCTAATTTTTGT